TTCCCCTTATTGTTTTATCACGATCAGCGCGTTTTTAGTATTAGTAGAACTGTCCACGACGTTATCACGAGTCGGTCTCTATTGTACAAGTTCAAATGTTATCCATTTAAAATGTTCAATAAATGCATATGTAAGTATCACAAACAACAATGATAAAATAAGATCGGAACAATTAAACGTATTGTAACGGTTTCGGCAGTGTGGTGAATAGATGTGTAGACATTTCATTCCATCCAAATTCAGTTTTGGACATTAAATAGAACGAATGTTCGATATGTTACTTCAATTTGAAACTTTGTCTTGAAGAAATTTTTGACGTTGAATCATGACTGCTTTATCCATCAGTAAGTAATCAACTAATATAGGTACTTTATACTCTAAGATAAAAAGAAAGAATATTCAACGAATCAACTTCGTAGTAAAACGCTTAAAAAAAAGAAGGCCCACGTAAGTATTGCTTGAATTATATAATTTACGATCGATGAAGAAGGATAATAAAATAAAGATAATGCAATCATAAATAAAATAGACAAAAACAGAAAACATAATTCTCGATCGAGAATTATATTTTTGACTGATTTTTTTTATTGCATAACATTAATGAGGAAATTTTATTAATATGTATATGTAAACATATGTAAATGTAGATGTATATTAGGCCCACGAAAATAAAAAAAAGTAAGAAGCACAAACCATTCAACAACACCGACGGATAAACGACATTACAGTGGAAGTACATAAAAGTTAAGATAAAATATAATTAATACTGTATTTATTTATTTCTTATTTTATAGCTTCAATATATAAATTGCGGATAGCATTGCAGAGTTCTATTTCAAACTTTATTAATAAGATATGAAATCTTATTATTCGTGAAACTTTCATAAAACATAATATAACAATTATTTGTAATAGGTTTATATTTAAATGCCATCTGAAATGACATATTCTAACACTATATATTATATATATATATATATATATATACGACGACCATCTACGACGCATAGTGGAGAAATACGGACTGGGCGAGAGAAACGAGAGAGGCGATCGTTTATTACAATTCTGTGATGGAGAGAGCCTTACCCTCGCGAACACTTGCTTTGACCACCACAAACGGCGCCTATACACATGGGTATTTCCAGGAGACAGATGCAGGAATCAGATAGATTACATACTGATTCAAACGCGTTGGAGGTCATCCGTGCTGAATTCGAAAACGTATCCGGGTGCAAATTGCGATCATCAACTGCTCGTGGCCACGTTGCGAATTAATTTAAAGAAAATGCGCAAGCCAGAAGTCACACCGAATCTGACGAGAGTGTGTATCCGCCTGCAATTTCGCAGACGGATACAACGATTGTCGCGGAGGAAGGAGACCGGAGGACGTCCGTGGCGGAGCGGGCGCTCGACATAGTCCACCAATGGATGGTGGAAAAGGAGAGGCGCCGGAGCGGAGAATGGGCGGTTCCGGAAGTGGCGGCCGAAGAAGAGGTCGAACCGGAAAGCCCCAGGTTCGAGCCGGTCACGCCGCCATTGCCAACCGTGGAGGAATAAGGCATTAAAGAGCGGCATTAAATTTTATATCTTTTATTT